TCTCCACCATTCTCTATCATTCTGTCTCTCCATCACTCTCATTCTGTTTTTCTCCATCCTCTCTCTCCATCGTTTTCCATCACTCTCTCCATCATTCTCTATCATTATATTCCCTATTATTCTCTCTCTCTCTCTCTCTCTCTCTCTCTCTCTCTCTCTCTCTCTCTCTCTCTCTCTCTCTCTCTCTCTCTCTCTCTCTCTCTTTCTTCCTAATAGATAGAATGATATATAATGGGTGAGAGAGAATGGGGGGAGAGAGAGAATGGGGGCGGAGAGCGAGAGAGAGAGAGAGAATGGGGGGGAGAGAGAATGGGGGAAAAAGAGAGAGAATGGGGAGAGAGAGAGAGAATAGGAGACAGAGAATGAGAGAGAGAATGATGGAGAGAGAGAGAAAGGAGAGAGAGAGAATGGAAGAGAGAGAGAGAATGGGAGAGAGAGAGAGAGAGAGAGGAAGAGAGAGAGCATGATAGAGAGAGAGAGAGAGAGTGGTGGAGAGAGAGAAAGGAAGAGAGAGAGAGAATGGGAGAGAGAGAGAGAGAGAATGGAAGAGAGAGAATGGAAGAGAGAGAGCATGATAGAGAGAGAGAGAAAGGAAGAGAGAGAGAGAATGGGAGAGAGAGAGCATGATAGAGAGAGAGAGAGAGTGGTGGAGAGAGAGTGGTGGAGAGAGAGAGGAAGAGAGAGAGAGAATGGGAGGGAGAGTGGTGGAGAGAGAATGGGGGAGAGAGAGAGAGAGAGAGAGAGAATGGAAGAGAGAGAGCATGATGGAGAGAGAGAGCATGATGGAGAGAGAGAGAATGATGGAGAGAGAGAGAATGATGGAGAGAGAGAGAATGATGGAGAGAGAGAGAATGATGGAGAGAGAGAGAATGATGGAGAGAGAGAGAATGATGGAGAAAGAGAGAATGATGGAGAGAGAGAGAATGATGGAGAGAGAGAATTGAGAGACAGAATAATGGGGAGAGAGAGAATAATGAGGAGAGAGAGTGTATGATGGGGAGAGAGAGAGAAAGAATGGAGAGTGAGAGATGATGGGGAGAATGATGGGGAGAGAGAATGAGAGAATGATGGAGATGAAGAGCGTCCTTCTCTCTCCATCTCTCTGCACCATTCTCTCCCTCCCCCATTCTCTCTCATCTCTCTCTGCACCATTCTCTCCCTCCCCCATTCTCTCTCATCTTTCTCTCCCTCCCCCATTCTCCCTCATCTCTCTTTCTGCATCATTCTCTCTCCATTCTCTCACCATCTCCCTCTCTCTGCATCATTCTCTCTCCATCTCTCTCTCTCTCTCCCATTCTCTCTCTCTCACCCATTCTCTCTCTCTCACCCATTCTCTCTCTCTCTCACCCATTCTCTCTCTCTCTCACCCATTCTCTCTCTCTCTCTCCCTCTCTCTCACTCTCAACCATTCTCTCTCTCTCTCTCTCTCTCTATCCATTCTCTCTCTCTCTCACCCATTCTTTCTCGCCTCTCTTTCCCACTCTCTCTCTCTCTCTCTCTCATCTCTCTCTCATCCATTCTCTCTCTCTCTCATCCATTCTCTCTCTCACTCATTCTCTCTCTCTCACCCATTCTCTCTCTCTCTCTCACCCATTCTCTCTCTCTCTCTCACCCATTCTCTCTCTCTCTCTCTCACCCATTCTCTCTCTCTCTCTCATCCATTCTCTCTTTCACCCATTCTCTCTCTTTCACCCATTCTCTCTCTCTCACCCATTCTTTCTCGCCTCTCTTTCCCACTCTCTCTATCTCTCTCTCATCTTTCTCTCTCTCATCCATTCTCTCTCTCTCTCACCCATTCTCTCTCTCTCTCACCCATTCTCTCTCTCTCTCACCCATTCTCTCTCTCTCTCACCCATTCTCTCTCTCTCTCACCCATTCTCTCTCTCTCTCTCACCCATTCTCTTTCTCTCTCACCCATTCTCTCTCTCACCCATTCTCTCTCTCACCCATTCTCTCTCTCACCCATTCTCTCTCTTTCACCCATTCTCTCTCTTTCACCCATTCTCTCTCTTTCACCCATTCTCTCTCTTTCACCCATTCTCTCTCTTTCACCCATTCTCTCTCTTTCACCCATTCTCTCTCTTTCACCCATTCTCTCTCTTTCACCCATTCTCTCTCTCTCTCTCTCTCTCTCTCTCTCTCTCTCTCTCACCCATTCTTTCTCTCATTCTCCATCTCTCTCTCTCTCTCCCATTCTCTCATTTTCTCTCTCATTCTCTCTCGCTCTTGCTCTCATTGTGATTCTCATGCGCTCTCGCTCTTGCCCATACATATATATTATATATATGTATTATATATAATACACATAAATTTCATATATGCGTGTGTGCTACAGGATATTACCTATTTCTGAACTTCGTTTATGCTTGTGCTATACAAAATGTCTGGTCATTATTTTACATTTAGATGATTAGCGCCATGATACATAGTTTACCGTTAGCCTCACGGATATTTAATGCACAATGATCTTCGGGGTGACGTATCAGCATTAACTCTGTCGTGCCACGAACCAACGCGGGACGACCTCGTAGCATGGCGCCCTGCTTCTGGTCGTCACCTCACTCATCTCACGAGGGTAATCAACGCTGTCTTGTGTCACCATCCCCGTCGCCCTTGCCTGGACACTATCACGTTACATGCTCACGCCGCATAGGTGTGCCGGTCTCCCATCACACCTCACCTCTCGCAAGCACACCTGCCAAACACCTGGCAGGTATGTTGACACAGCACCTCGCTTGCTAAACCTCATTGCTTGTTCGTACAAGGTTTTCATATATTTATCTTATCACACGTCAGCTTTCGTTAGACTTTATGAATGACAATGTACTCCCTTATTAAATTTTCAGTGGGATGGCGGGAGGTAGCATGTCCAGCTGAGGACTCCTTTGTAAAAATTCTGCTTAAGGTAGTGTGTGCTCATCCATGTATACAGAGATGTGTGTAGAGAGAGGGGGGGTGGATTAATGAGTTAATGTTAATGTGGGTGTAAACTGATGGAGAGAAGATACAAGTAAAAGCTAAAAAAAAATGCAGTTTGAACCAGGAGATGGAGGTGGGGAGCGGTAGGGAGGAGGAAGAGGAGATAAAAAGGAGCAAAGACGGAAGAAAGAAATGAAATAAGAGAGAGAATGAGATAGAATGAGAATAAGGGAAAGAGTGAGAAAGTAAGAAGGAAAGATAGACAGAGAGAGACAAGAAAAGAGATGAAGAGAAAGAAAAAGAAAAAGTGAGAAAGAGAAAGAGAAAAGGAGAAAGGAAAAGAGAAAAAGAGAAAGAAAAAGAGACGAGCGCATGAATGCCATCCTCCCGCACGATGGCCAGTAAGCCCAAACAGATACGACCCCAAAAAGTCCTGCAGAGAAACGAATGCCAAGACACAAGCCCGAGTAAACAGAGAACTAACAGACGTTGCGAAAGAGAAGGAAAGCAGATAAGGCATCGACAGATTTATGTGAACAATAAAAGGCCTTAACGTCTGAACGCCGTCGACTGATGTTTATGTCAGGCCTGCCATCGAGTGCCTCATCAGCTGTCTCGTTATCACGCTGGCATCAGGCAGAACATGACGCGCTGGAGACTGTCATGCGCACGTTACACTGCATGATGAATACTTTATAATGAGCAAACACGACAATGACCATGCCTCCCTTATACGAGGGAATTATTATTCATTCCCTCCGTGTCTCCACTACTTCAATATATGCTTAACAAATACGTGCTTATCTTTCAACCTCCCAAAACATTTCTCTTTATACTACAACGGCAATGTGAATGCGCATCCCATTAGCACTAGAGTTTACTGATGAAAAAGGACAATAATTCATCATTAAGTGATTGCATCTTATCACACACTCACCCACTGTTATTAATTCATTATCATTCATATGCAAGTCTTCACACACCGCCAATCACTACTATATGATAATTCCTTATGCTTTGTCTATACATCTACAGATGTGTGTGCGCGCGCGCGCGCGCGTTCCCGTGTATGGGTGTGTTTTCTGCTGTTAAACCTCTGAATCTCTTTGAAGAACTAACAGGTACTTTTTGTTTGGTTCTGATTTCTTGTAGCGCTGAGCAAACGAACATTTTACGAGGGGAAGGGGTGTTTACGGGATCAAAATGACCTCTGGTGTGAAAGCCAAGTGTGCTGGGATGCAATATGCTTAGGCAAGTTTATCCTTCAAGAATGTTTTCCTTTACAAGAAAATGTCAGCCATGTACTTGATTTTCTAAACTTTTATAACCAACAGTACCGTCTATAATGATAAACATTCTACTTATATCACTTACTGTGGATATCTACCATCCCAATGCTCCTATGAAAATAAAAGTAATCACGGCTATTAAATCATACATTTAATGAGCACCTGCACTATAAGGGTAGGGGCCTCCTCTTAGAAGGTTTCTAAGAGTCCAACTTTATTGCCTTCTGGAGAACACCCTCAAGAGTGAGATGTAGGTTCGAATTCTTCATCTTATTGGAGATCCGCTGACCTTTTGTTCGTGGGACTGTGTCTGAAGTACTTTGCGTGTTGATACTAAAATTACAGTTGACGTCGTGCGATTCGGATAGTTACATTGCAAGTAATGCTGATAATGACAGAAGTAGAAGTACGTTGTGGACTTTTGATATCAACACTAACAATTAGGAGTTAGCAGGATGGATAACCAACTATAGCAATAAAATTGTCGGCTTTCGTTATAAATGATAACCATGCTGATAACAGTAATCTCTAAGCTTGGGGCGCGACATGCTAGCGTCATGGCGGACGCGATGAGTACTCGCGGCGCCCAGGGGTCAGAGGGCGGATCGAGGGCGTGTGCAGGACCAGGGTTCAGGGCCGGGGGTGTTGAGGGTCGGGGGTGTTGAGGGCCGGGGGTGTTGAGGGCCGGGGGTGTTGATGGACGGGGGTGTTGATGGACGGGGGTGTTGATGGACGGGGGTGTTGAGGGCCGGGAGTGTTGAGTCCCGGGGGTGTTGAGGGCCAGGGGGGGGGTTAAGGGTGGGGGTGTTGCGGGTGTTGATAGGTGTTGAGGGCCGGGGGGGGGGGGGGGGGGGGGTTGAGGGTCGGGGTGTTGATGGACGGGGGTGTTGAGGGTGTTGATGGCCGGGGGTGTTGATGGCCGGGGGTGTTGTTGGCCGGGGGTGTTGAGGGTGTTGTTGGCCGGGGATCTTGAGGGTGTTGATGGCCGGGGGTGTTGAGGGTGTTGTTGGCCGGGGATCTTGAGGGTGTTGATGGTCGGGGGTGTTGAGGGTGTTGATGGCCGGGGGTGTTGAGGGTGATGGCAGGGGGTGTTGAGGGTCGGGAGTGTTGAGGGTGTTGATGGCAGGGGGTGTTGAGGGTGATGGCAGGGGGTGTTGAGGGTGATGGCAGGGGGTGTTGAGGGTGTAGAGGGCCGGGGGTATTGTTGGCCGGGGGGGGGGGGGGATTGGTCGAGGGTGTTGATGTCCGGGGGTGTTGTTGGCCGGGGAGGGGGGGGTGTTGAGGGTGTTGATAGAGGGGGGTGTTGAGGGCCGGGGGTGTTGAAGACTGGGCATGTTCAGGGCCGGGCGGTGGTGAGGGGTTGAGGGTGATGGCCGGGGGTGTTGAGGGTGTTGATGCCCGTGGGTGTTGAGGGTGTTGATGGCCGGGAGTGTTGAGGGTGTTGATGGCCGGGGGTGTTGAGGGTGTTGAGGGCCGGGGGTGTTGAGGGTGTTGATGGTAGGGGGTGTTGAGAGCCGGGGGTGTTGATGGTAGGTGTTGATGGCAGGGGGTGTTGAGGGTGTTTATAGCCGGAGGTGTTGAGGGCGTTGATGGCCGGGGGTGTTTAGGGTGTTGATGGCAGGGGGTGTTGAGGGTGTTGATGGCCGGGAGTGTTGAGGGTGTTGATGGTAGGGGGTGTTGAGGGTGTTGATGGTAGGGGGTGTTGAGAACCGGGGGTGTTGAGGGTGTTGGTGGTAGGGGGTTGGTTGAGGGTGTTGATGGTAGGGGGTGTTGAGAGCCGGGGGTGTTGAGGGTATTGATGGTAGGGGGTGTTGATGGGCGGGGGTGTTGAAGGTGTTGATGGTGTCGATGGCCGGGGGTGTTGAGGGTGTTGATGGCCGGGGGTGTTGAGGGTGTTGATGGCCGGGGGTGTTGAGGGTGTTGATGGCCGGGGGTGTTGAGGGTGTTGATGGCCGGGGGTGTTGAGGGTGTTGATGGCCGGGGGTGTTGATGGTGTTCAGGGCGGGGGTGTTGAGTGTTGATGGTAGGGTGTTGAGGGCCGGTGATATTGCTGGCCGTCGGGGGGTGGGGGTGTTGGCCGGGGGTGAGGGTCGGGGGTGTTGAGGGTGTTGATGGTAGGGGGTGTTGAGGGTGTTGATGGTAGGGGGTGTTGATGGCCCGGGGGGGGGGGTGTTGGCCTGGGGCGTTGAGGGTTTTGAGGGCCGGGAGTGTTGAGAGCGGGGGGGGGGGGGGGGGGGGAGTTGAGGGCTGGGCATGTTCAGGGCCGGGCGATGTTTAGGGCCGGGGGTCTTGGGGTGTGTTGAGAGCCGGGGGTATTGAGGGCTGGGCATGTTCAGGGCCAGGGCCAGGGGTGTTGGGGGCCAGGGGTGTTGGGGGCCGGGGGGGTTGGATGCCGGGGGTGTTGAGGGCCGGGGGTCTTGGGGGCCGGGGGTGTTGAGGGCCGGAGGTGTTGAGGGCCGGAGGTGTTGAGGGCCGGAGGTGTTGAGGGCCGGAGGTGTTGAGGGCCGGAGGTTGACGGAGGTGTTGAGGGCCGGTGTTGAGGGCCGGAGGTGTTGAGGGCCGGAGGTGTTGAGGGCCGGAGGTGTTGAGAGTCTGGGGTGTCGAGAACCGGGGTCTTGCGAGCCGGAGTATTGTTACCCGGGATCTTGAGAGCCAGAGGTTTGCAAGCCGGGGTCTTGCGAGCCGGGTTGACGCATGTTCAGGGCCGGCCGATGTTAAGGGCCAGGGGTATTGGGGGCCGGGGGTGTTGAGGGTGTTGAGGGCCGGGGGTGTTGAGGATGTTAAGGGCTGGGGGAGTTGAGGGCTGGGGGTCTTGGGGGCCGGGGGTCTTGGGAGTCAGGGCCGGGGGAGTTGGGGGTCTGGGGTGGTGAGGGCCGGGGGAGTTGGTCAGGGCCGGGGGAGTTGGGGGTCGGGGGAGTTGGGGGTCAGGGCCGGGGGAGTTGGGGGTCGGGGGTGTTGAGGGTCGGGGGTGTTGAGGGTCGGGGGTGTTGGGGTCGGGGGTGTTGGGGTCGGGGGTGTTGAGGGTCGGGGGTGTTGAGGGTCGGGGGTGTTGGGGGTCGGGGGTGTTGGGGGCCGGGGGTGTTGAGGGTCGGGGGTGTTGGGGGCCGGGGGTGTTGGGGGCCGGGGGTGTTGGGGGCCGGGGGTGTTGAGGGCCGGGGGTGTTGGGGGCCGGGGGTGTTGGGGGCCGGGGGTGTTGGGGGCCGGGGGTGTTGGGGGCCGGGGGTGTTGAGGGTCGGGGGTGTTGAGGGTCGGGGGTGTTGAGGGTCGGGGGTGTTGGGGGCCGGGGGTGTTGGGGGCCGGGGGTGTTGAGGGCCGGGGGTGTTGAGGGCCGGGGGTGTTGAGGGCCGGGGGTGTTGAGGGCCGGGGGTGTGAGGGCCGGGGGTGTTGAGGGCCGGGGGTGTTGAGGGCCGGGGGTGTTGAGGGCCGGGGGTGTTGAGGGCCGGGGGTGTTGAGGGCCGGGGGTGTTGAGGGTCGGGGGTGTTGAGGGTCGGGGGTGTTGAGGGTCGGGGGTGTTGGGGGCCAGGGGTGTTGGGGGCCGGGTGTGTTGAGGGCCGGGTGTGTTGAGGGCCGGGGGTGTTGAGGGCCGGGGGTGTTGAGGGTCGGGGGTGTTGAGGGTCGGGGGTCTTGGGGGCCGGGGGTGTTGAGGGTCGGGGGTGTTGAGGGCCGGGGGTGTTGGGGGCCGGGGGTGTTGAGGGCCGGGGGTGTTGAGGGCCGGGGGTGTTGAGGGCCGGGGGTGTTGAGGGCCGGGGGTGTTGCGAGCCGGAGTTTTGCGAGCTGGGGTCTTCAGAGCCGGGTTGTTGGCGCATGTTGAGGGCCGTGGGTCTTGAGGGCTGGTGGTCGTGGGGGCCGGGGGTCGTGGGGGCCGGGGGTCGTGGGGGCCGGGGGTCGTGGGGGCCGGGGGTCGTGGGGGCCGGGGGTGTTGGGGGCCGGGGGTGTTGGGGGCCGGGGGTGTTGGGGGCCGGGGGTGTTGGGGGCCGGGGGTGTTGGGGGTCAGGGGTGTTGGGGGTCAGGGCCGGGGGTGTTGGGGGTCGGGGGTGTTGGGGGCCGGGGGTGTTGGGGGCCGGGGGTGTTGGGGGCCGGGGGTGTTGGGGGCCGGGGGTGTTGGGGGCCGGGGGTCTTGGGGGCCGGGGGTGTTGGGGGCCGGGGGTGTTGGGGGCCGGGGGTCTTGGGGGCCGGGGGTCTTGGGGGCCAGGGGTGTTGAGGGCCGGGGGTCTTGGGGGCCGGGGGTCTTGGGGGCCGGGGGTGTTGAGGGTCGGGGGTGTTGAGGGTCGGGGGTGTTGAGGGTCGGGGGTGTTGGGGGCCGGGAGTCTTGGGGGCCGGGGGTGTTGGGGGCCAGGGGTGTTGGGGGCCGGGAGTCTTGGGGGCCAGGGGTGTTGAGGGCCGGGAGTCTTGGGGGCCGGGGGTGTTGGGGGCCAGGGGTGTTGGGGGCCGGGGGTGTTGGGGGCCGGGGGTGTTGGGGGCCGGGGGTGTTGGGGGCCGGGGGTGTTGGGGGCCGGGGGTGTTGGGGGCCGGGGGTGTTGGGGGCCGGGGGTGTTGGGGGTCGGGGGTGTTGGGGGCCGGGGGTGTTGGGGGCCAGGGGTGTTGGGGGCCGGGGGAGTTGGGGGCCGGGGGTGTTGGGGGCCGGGGGTGTTGGGGGCCGGGGGTGTTGGGGGCCGGGGGTGTTGGGGGCCGGGGGTGTTGAGGGCCGGGGGTGTTGAGGGCCAGGGGTGTTGCGAGCCGGAGTTTTGCGAGCTGGGGTCTTCAGAGCCGGGTTGTTGGCGCATGTTGAGGGCCGTGGGTCTTGAGGGATGGTGGTCGTGGGGGCCGGGGGTCTTGGGGGCCGGGGGTCTTGGGGGCCGGGGGTCTTGGGGGCCGGGGGTCTTGGGGGCCGGGGGTCTTGGGGGCCGGGGGTCTTGGGGGCCGGGGGTCTTGGGGGTCGGGGGTCTTGGGGGTCAGGGCCGGGGGAGTTGGAGGCCGGGGGTCTTGGAGGCCGGGGGTGTTGGGGGCCGGGGGTGTTGGGGGCCGGGGGTGTTGGGGGCCGGGGGTGTTGGGGGCCGGGGGTGTTGGGGGCCGGGGGTGTTGGGGGCCGGGGGTGTTGGGGGCCGGGGGTGTTGGGGGCCGGGGATCTTGGGGGCCGGGGGTCTTGGGGGCCGGGGGTCTTGGGGGCCGGGGATCTTGGGGGCCGGGGGTCTTGGGGACCGGGGGTCTTGGGGACCGGGGGTCTTGGGGACCGGGGGTGTTGGGGGCCGGGGGTGTTGGGGGCCGGGGGTCTTGGGGGCCGGGGGTCTTGGGGGCCGGGGGTCTTGGGGGCCGGGGGTCTTGGAGGCCAGGGGTCTTGGGGGTCAGGGCCGGGGGAGTTGGAGGCCGGGGGTCTTGGGTGTTGAGGGTCGGGGGTGTTGAGGGTCGGGGGTGTTGAGGGTCGGGGGTGTTGGGGGCCGGGGGTGTTGGGGGTCGGGGGTGTTGGGGGTCGGGGGTGTTGGGGGCCGGGGGTGTTGGGGGCCGGGGGTGTTGGGGGCCGGGGGTGTTGGGGGCCGGGGGTGTTGGGGGCCGGGGGTGTTGGGGGCCGGGGGTGTTGGGGGCCGGGGGTGTTGGGGGCCGGGGGTGTTGGGGTCCGGGGGTGTTGGGGTCCGGGGGTCTTGGGGTCCGGGGGTCTTGGGGTCCGGGGGTCTTGGGGGCCGGGGGTCTTGGAGGCCAGGGGTCTTGGGGGTCATGGCCGGGGGAGTTGGAGGCCGGGGGTCTTGGGGGCCGGGGGTGTTGGGGGCCAGGGGTCTTGCAGTGTTCGGAGCCGTGGTCAAAGGAGATCCTGGGGTCAGGGAATCGGGAGGATTTGAATTGTCGAAGGGGCATGTTGGGGAGAAAAACAGTCCGCCCCTCAGGGTCCCCTTGAGCACAGCTCTCACACCTTAGGAGGTGGATAGTAGAAGGCACTGGTGAAGGGACAGAAACGAAAAAGTAGGAGGGGAAAAAAGACCATGCAAAATTAGTTGAGTCGAGGGCTGAGTCCCAAGGTTGGGGAGTTCCCCATCATTGGGTCCCAGTCTCCGCCTCCTAAGCCCCTCCACGACAACAACGGGCAAGGGATTGGGGGGGGGTTGAGGGCCGGGGGTATTGAGAGTGTTGATGGCCGGGGGTATTGAGGGCCGGGGGTCTTGGGGGCCAGGGGTATTGAGGGCCGGGGGTGTTGGGGGCCAGGGGTGGTAAGGGCCGGGGGTGTTGGGGGCCGGGGGTGTTGAGGGCCGGGGGTGTTGGGGGTCGGGGGTGTTGAGGGCCAGGGGTGTTGAGGGCCGGGGGTGTTGGGGGCCGGGGGTGTTGGGGGTCGGGGGTGTTGGGGGCCGGGGGTGTTGGGGGTCGGGGGTGTTGGGGGTCGGGGGTGTTGGGGGTCGGGGGTGTTGGGGGCCGGGGGTGTTGGGGGCCGGGGGTGTTGGGGGCCGGGGGTGTTGGGGGCCGGGGGTGTTGGGGGCCGGGGGTGTTGGGGGCCGGGGGTGTTGGGGGCCGGGGGTGTTGAGGGCCGGGGGTCTTGGGGGTCGGGGGTCTTGGGGGCCAGGGGTGTTGAGGGCCGGGGGTGTTGAGGGCCGGGGGTGTTGAGGGCCGGGGGTGTTGAGGGTCGGGGGTCTTGGGGGCCAGGTGTGTTGAGGGCCAGGGGTGTTGAGGGTCGGGGGTGTTGGGGGCCGGGGGTGTTGGGGGCCAGGGGTGTTGGGGGCCAGGGGTGTTGAGGGCCAGGGGTCTTGGGGGTCGGGGGTGTTGAGGGTCGGGGGTGTTGAGTGTCGGGGGTGTTGAGGGTCGGGGGTGTTGAGGGTCGGGGGTGTTGAGGGTCGGGGGTGTTGAGGGTCGGGGGTGTTGGGGGCCGGGGATCTTGGGGGCCAGGGGTGTTGAGGGCCGGGGGTGTTGAGGGCCGGGGGTCTTGGGGGCCGGGGGTGTTGAGGGCCGGGGGTCTTGGGGGCCAGGGGTGTTGAGGGCCGGGGGTGTTGAGGGTCGGGGGTGTTGGGGGTCGGGGGTGTTGGGGGTCGGGGGTCTTGGGGGCCAGGGGTGTTGAGGGCCGGGGGTGTTGAGGGTCGGGGGTCTTGGGGGCCAGGGGTGTTGAGGGCCAGGGGTGTTGAGGGCCGGGGGTGTTGAGGGTCGGGGGTGTTGGGGGTCGGGGTCTTGGGGGCCGGGGGTGTTGAGGGCCGGGGGTGTTGGGGGCCGGGGGTGTTGGGGGCTAGGGGTGTTGAGGGCCGGGGGTGTTGAGGGCCGGGGGTGTTGAGGGCCAGGGGTGTTGGGGGCCAGGGGTGTTGAGGGTCGGGGGTGTTGGGGGCCAGGGGTGTTGGGGGTCGGGGGTGTTGGGGGTCGGGGGTGTTGAGGGTCGGGGGTGTTGAGGGTCGGGGGTGTTGAGGGCCGGGGGTGTTGAGGGCCGGGGGTGTTGGGGGCCGGGGGTGTTGGGGGCCGGGGGTGTTGGGGGCCGGGGGTGTTGGGGGCCGGGGGTGTTGGGGGCCGGGGGTGTTGGGGGCCGGGGGTGTTGGGGGCCGGGGGTGTTGGGGGCCGGGGGTGTTGGGGGCCGGGGGTGTTGGGGGCCGGGGGTGTTGGGGGTCGGGGGTGTTGAGGGTCGGGGGTGTTGAGGGTCGGGGGTGTTGAGGGCCGGGGGTGTTGAGGGCCGGGGGTGTTGAGGGCCGGGGGTGTTGAGGGCCAGGGGTGTTGAGGGCCGGGGGTGTTGAGGGTCGGGGGTGTTGGGGGTCGGGGGTGT